CGGAAAAAATGTATGAATACATTAAAGCCAAATTGGTTCTACTTCAAAACTACTTTTTGGAGTTCTTTGTTCAGATGATTAGATGTACCATCTTAGAAACCAATATTGATTAAACATATCAGAGGCGAACAAATTTAAACACCCCGTGTTTTAATGAACAATGTTATGTAACACCCTGTTTAACCCAGCAAAGATGCCAATGCAAACACTTTTTAATACCCGGAGTGTGACACTGAAGCTTAAGCCTTGCTTGCGTGGAATTGCCTTCGTCTGAGCATATGAATTCAGACTATTTAGGAGCCAGTCAAGGATTTGTTTGTTTCCCAATTCTTATAGTCTGTAGTGAAGATCATAGTGCACTTCACATCAGTCAATTTTTTGACAGTACTGTCTGTTTGTATATTTAGTGTTATTTTTAGTGTTTGCAGATAATTGTGTTGTTGCACGATTTCCAGACAGGGTAAGGCTAATGAAGTATCCTTATTATGTTGATACAACACTGTCACTTTGGAAGGCATTGGTAGGCATGATCCAAAAGTATGCACTAAAACTGCGGAATTTTGGTGACAAACAATGCAATCTAAACGTACTCTGAGGACCAAATTTTGTTGACCGGCGCGAGTTCAGGGTGTACGCGTGAAAAGAATGCTTACACCCCCTGGTCAGTACCCATCAGGGGGGTGTAAGCCATGTACAAATATGTACAAGGACTTATACCCTGCTTTGAGTGACATCTGATGATTGCACCGAACACTAATGTCTATAGTTGATACTCGTCATCCTAGATGACGCAACTTAACTTATTTTTTCAAATACTTGTAAGGAGAATTGTTCAAGACGCACTGTCAGCGAGAGAGATTTAAATTTAAGACAGTACCCAGGTAATTAACGGGAGAAATTAACAGAACAGAGCAAACTGCCCGTGGAGAGATACCGATGAGGCAATGGTGTCGGAGCTTGCTGGAGAGATAGGTTATGCAACTGACATAAGGGAGAGACCAAAATCGTCAAACATCCTAGAAGTTATCTGCAGGGGAAAGGGGAGCATTCGGGCCTGTTGAAAGAATGCGCAACCTCAAGAATTAACCTATCCACCAATCTCTCCAAGACTTTGAGGAAGAACGATGTCATGCATTTTGTCATATACGATTTGGTCGTTAAGTCGGGTACTCTGCTCATTTTCAGCAGGTGGATGACCTTGGCCTTCCTCCACGTATAGGGAACATATTTCCAGGCCAAGCAAGACTTAAAGACTTTAACTAGATGTGGAATAAGCACCTCCTTCCCCTTTTGCAGTAGAACAGGGTGTATGCCATCTACTCCTGGGGATCTGAATTGCTGGAATCTGACTGACTGGCCTTGCTAACATCGTTGCCAGTCTCCAGTAGCCAGCGGTAGGTCTCTCTGGTGTTTTTTCTCTGGCTCTGGACATTATCACCCGTGACCGGTATTGACAATGATCCTGAAAAGTGTGCCTTTGTTAGCAATTCCATACTTTCCTCGACTGAATTTGTGTAGGTACCATCACATTCGATGATGAGACCTACATGCGCCAAAGTACTACTGTCCTTGGTCAGCACCCTGTGGATTCAAGATGCCTCTGGCCCTTCTTCCAGCTCTTCGCAAAACCTCCTCCACGAGTTCCCTTTGGCCTTTCGAAATTGTAGGTTGTACTTTGTTTGTTCGGCCCTGAACTTATCCCAGTCATGAGTGTACTTTGCCTTGTTAAAATGTCTTCGCACCTCTGTCCTACGACTTTCAATGTGCGTACTTGAGGTCCATTTTCAGGGATTTGCTCGTATGCATCCGTATATGAGCTTCAAGCGCCTCGAGTTGAGCTGGGCTCATTGTCTTGGCTAGGAAGCCTTCCAGAGCTATCACCACCTTAACGACAGCAGCGGGCTTATGCTAGGTTTCGCTTTTCTGTCTTGACCACTTGTGAGCATTATGTCCTTTACACATTGGGCTCCGGGGCTTTCTGGCCTTCCGGAGATTTGTCCTTCTGTTAGGATCTGGTGAAATTGTCCCTGATTACGGCTCGTTTGGCCTCTATGTAATGGATCCTTTTCATTGATTCTCTGTTTAGAGAATCCTGACATCTGGTGAAACGAGTTTCGTCGTCGGGCATCAATTGGACTTCCTCCAGTGATTTGGCTTTGGAGGAGCCCTTTGGCTTTTCTTGCTCTTCTGCCTTGGCTTTTGACGGACAGACGTTTTCCAGATCGCTGATAATGGATGTGGTATCAATTTGCTAAAGATCAAGATGGTTTATCTGATATGGCGTACCGTTTTGCTAATAAATGATTTGATTGAGCTCAAATTTAAGTTTTAGATGTTATTAGGGTCGCTAATAATGAATTAGATAATATATCGATTGTTTAGAATCGAAACAGCGGTTCTGATGTTGCGGCTATATTTGCAAAAAATGCTTTCATTGCGCTTAAAATTATGTTTCATCTATTTTGAAGATCGTTTGTAACAAAAAATTATGGTTTTATATGTTTTCAAGGTATAATTGCCAAAGTTGCAGTCAGCTCCAGTTAAAATTTGCATATTTCTTAACTGGGTATCTGATAAACATGTTACTATTCGAAATAGAGCGGACTCTAATGGGCTTCATTTAAACTCTCTTTGAATTTACTAGATACGGAAAAACATCAATCACATATTATTGTTATCGTATAGTGTAATGTGCCTAGTAACAAGTAGTTAATAAGAAGAACACATAACTTCGACTCCGCAATTTATTTTGTCAAATCTCAACACATCATTTTAAAGCGATTATTTGACTATACGCTTTTTATGGACGTTTACCAGGTTTTTTGGTTTCTGAACCATGCCTATCTCCATCTCGATGCAGATGAAACTCAAGGAGTATTCTCCCTCAAGTCACAACATGATTTCTATAACAATATTCACGTCTCGAAGTAAAAGCAATAATCAAGTCTGTCCCCGTTCTTGTTCAGACCAATTACATAGGTTGTTTCTTCGTGATAATAGACATAAACAATAAGAATAGTTATCATGATCATGCATACCATACGATTATTAACTAAGTACTTGAGTATTTACATCAAAGTGAGATTCACAGCAGGACAATGATGATATTTCCGAAAGAGACAATTCTAGTTCTTCTATGCTTTGGCACAGAATAATAATATTTTTTTGGGAGTTATACGCTTGTAGTTGTACACTTAGGTACAATACAGTCTTTGTAAGTTAAAGCTCTAAATCGCAAATACAGAACAACTGGTGTAAATAGCGCGAAGGATCCGTGGCAAGCCTATCGTTCTGTCTGGTGTAATGTGACGTCGTCACTCAATAACACTCTTCAGCAAGGTAATTCTCCAAATAAGAAACTTTTGGGTAGCATATCCTTGCCATTCTTTGAGGTATTCAAATAAATGTTCCAGTACTGTACTTCACTGTACTTAGACCTTTATGTTAAGTGTTTCAAGAACATGAAGCTCGGTCATTGACATCACATGATTTTAATTTAATTTGCAAAGCAAGTTATACTTGTCGGACTTTATTGTGTTCGATAATGAATCATAAAACGATTAGTGCGACTCCTAACTTATCTTTAACAATGGCTGTTACTGCCGGTATACACGAGGAAAATAACCCGATTAGCATTACGTTGATGTAAATGGAATAGTTTGCAGTATTGACGCGCAATAGTATGCACTATATGTATATGTATGCACGACAATTGGCATTGTGGAAAACGGTCTTCAAAGCTTGCAAATGCTTATCGAAATGCGTCCCCGGTTCCAACGCAATTTTTTTATAGCGTGACAATTTAGCGTAACTGTTAAACAAAATATTTGTGCAGAGTAGAGCTGGGTCGGTCCTGAGCAAATTATTCCAAAGGAACGATACCGCATTAGGAATCTAGGAATCGATTCCGGTAATTTTTACTCCGACTCCGATAGCGATTTCGGCGGTTTCTATTCCGATCCAATAGTTTCGAATCCGACAAATATAATTATAATATAATATAATTTTAATAAGAATACGAATACTCGCACTAACTTCTTAACCCCCCTCTGTTAGGTATCAATTTCACGTAATCGGTGCGCTAAAATTGAGCCTTACCGAAAGAACGATAATATGCGGATTAGTCAGTGGTATTTCAGAAGACCGCATCTAGTCGCTAAACACGTGGTCGTTGCGTGAAACTATTAGGTGGTCCCTTATCAGACCACCTCTGCATGACGAGCTAGCATAAATACTGTATTCGCGCAAATTGTTACACTGTGTTATTTTTTTGTGACTTACTGGTGATTACAATAGAAAATATTATAAAATTATCATCTGCACTGTTGTTTTGAAATGTCGCTTACGAGTTATCGGAATATCATTCTGGCACTTTTCTTTCGGAATATGTATTCAAAAAGTAAATGGTCATTTCAAGAGCTTCAGAAAGCGACGCAGGGGGAGCTTCTACAGATAGTAGCAGATTGTGAGGCAATATCCGACGTTCAGGCTATAAATTCAGATCTTCATCTGAACAAACATTGGAAGCCAACCAAAGACAGATTTCAACTATAATCAACCACAAGGTGTCAAAGATATAGTGGGATTGACAGATGAAACTATCGATTCACCTCTGCAGTATTTTCATGCAATATTCTCGGACGTAGTATATTATATAATTATTACCGAATCTAACAGGTATCCAGCGCAAAAGGAGTTGGTTTGAATTTACAACGGGATGAGTTACAAGCGTTTTTTGGTATGCTACTGATATTGGGCTTCCATACTCTGTCAAGCCTAAGATTGTACGGGTCAACAGATCAAAACTTCCATGTAAGCCGCATAAGTAACATGTCACAAAAGAGGTTTTTACATCTTCTTCTCTATTTTCACTTGAACGACAATGAAGTTATGCCACAGCGGGGATAAGAGAACTTTGACAAATTATATAAAATACGCCCACTTGTTGGCATATTGAACGAGCGATTTTCTACTCTTTATGCTCCTCCATTGACGAAAGTATGGTTGGTTTCAAGGATCGTACTACACTGGGACAGTATATGCCCATGGAACCAGTAAAAAGAGGATTCAAAGTTTGGGTAATTGCTTGTTATCGGGCTGGTTACAACTTGGGTTTCAAGATTTATGAAGGTAAGGAGAATGCAGGTATAAGCCTAGGAGAAAGAACAGTTCTTACAATCTCTGATAGATATAATGATGAAGGTCGCTGTCTCTACTTCGACAACTTTTTCAATAGTTTTCCACTGCTGAAAATGCTTCTTGCAAAAAATACCTTTGCATGTGGCACACTAAGGAAAAATAAAAAGTGTTTCCTAAGAAGTAAAATGATGAACGATAAATCCTTGAAACGAGGAGAATCTGACTATTGCATGGCTGGTGATATTTCTGTATACAATAGGACCGATCGAGGTGCCAAACCAGTCCTACTTGCTAGCAACTTTCACGATCCAAGGGAAGAAACAACTGTTCTTAGAACAAATGTCCAGGCGATGGTGGATGAAACCTTTTGACTTTGTTTTTGATGCCTCAGTTGTAAATAGCTATATTCTCTACTCAGAAGCCAAAAAACAGGCTAAGGAGGAACCCATATCTCAACTACAGTATAGGAGTATTTTAGCTAATCAGCTAATCGGTTCATTCACTGGCAGAAAATCAATGGGCCCTCTACCACAAACAAACAAAAATAAAGTCAACAAAATCAATGGCCGTAAAATATACAGGGTGACTTTGAAGTTGAGTCATTAATTTTCAGATAATGATTGTAGAAGGAAGATAAACCAAAATATGTGTGTAAAAATAAAAAATTTTTTTTTTTAACTTGTTTTATAAAGTATCCTCCCGACAAGTATTTCAGTGCGGACCTGTATCTGATCGTGAGGTCTTGGAGCACCGGCATGCAGTCCCCTGTGAGGTCTTAAGTCACCTGATTCACGAGCCCGTTGTACTACATTAACAAAGGCACGAGGGGTTGGTTGCACTCGATTGGGAAACCGATCCGCATAAATATATGCCATTTTTTATTTCGTTTGAGCCACGCAGCAAACACCACTATTCACTCACGCGTTACCGACTGACACAGACTTTAATTTTACCACAAAAATGTTAAAGGAAAAAACATTTCTTTTGATCAGATCTACTCACTGTTAAAATAAATGACTCAACTTCGAAGTCACCCTGTATATACTAGCACTACAGGCCCAGTAGGCCCATGGCTTGATCGGCGATCCTTTGCCATTCTTCTATATTCATTGCTCTTCTTTCCCAATCACTTATGTTTAATTTCCTCAGGTCATCTTTCACCTCAGTTTTCCACCTCGTCCTAGGTCTGCCTCTACTTTTCTTCCCTCCTATTGAATGAGTAAGCAGTGTCTTTGGTACTCTATGTTCTGCCATTCTTTGCACGTGTCACAACTATCTCAACCTCTGAGCTCTTATGACCGCCGTTATGTTGGGCAGACAGTTCATTCAACTAATCATTTGTTCTTCGGGTCCACTTACCATCATCTAACATTTTGCCACCAAAAATCTTCCTTAACACCTTCCGTTCCCATATCTCCAGCTTTGCTTATTCTGCCTTTGTTATCGTCCATGTTTCACATGCATACGTGGCCACTGGTCTTATTAGCGTTTTGTGGAGTCTGATTTTAGCTCCCCTGGATATAATTTTGCTTTTTATTAGTCTTTTTAGCGCATATACGTATATGACACGATTTCCAGCCATCATTCTTTTTTGTATTTCCTCCCTGTTGCCCTGCTTTGATGTAAATACTGTGCCCAAGTAGTCAAACGTATGTACTTTTTCAAACTTATAAACTTCTCCTTTTGTTGTGGTCATTATCAACTGTTGTCCTTTAACAAGTTCTTTATCTGCCCATTCCATGTACATTGTCTTTTCTACATTAATGTACAGTCCTTTGCTTCGTGCTTTTTCTTCTAGTCTATTTACGGTGTTTATAAGTTCGACTTTACTTCTGGCCAGAATAACCAAGTCGTCAGCAAATGCTAGGCATTGATGCTTTCTGTGACATACTAAACCAGCCCTGTTTATGTTTGCTTCTTGTATACTTTTCTCGAGCACAATGTTAAACTATATTTAACATGGCCGTAAAATAACCATTGAAAATACACGGCGAATGGTTAACGTTGGTCAACATTTGCCGGTTCCTGGTACAAAACGACGGTGTGGGTATTGTAGTACGAAGAAAGGTGTTAAAGAGGACAAAAATTCAGTGTAAGTAGTGCAATGTTGAACTTTGCTTACAATGTTTTGAACCCTTCCATGTGAAAAAATAAAACTGTTCCTGCACCCTACATGTGTGGTGGTCCCTATCAGGACCACCACTTGGACGCCATTTTGGAAACTGTTATCAACAAAATCTTATATAAATAGCTGCTTTTGCCCCTGCTCACAAAAACTAAGGTATTTATTACCTTTGTTAATGAAGAATGAAGTCTTGCACTACGAGTAGTTAGGGGTTAGGGTTAAATGCAGCGGCTCCAAATGAGGAATGCACTAAGTGAGAATTTGGTATGGAATAATGAAGCTTGGAGTGTAGACGATTACTTAGTTGCCATTTATTCAATATTATAATTTTATTCATATATTTATTCGGCGCAAATATAACTCATATAACTTCAACATTTTTAGTTTGGATTATGTTTTTATTTTAATATATTGACATACACCTCACGAAAGTTTATGTCAATCAAAATAGAGATCTTGTTAACCCGTATTTGCCGAATCCTTTCTGCTGTTGACAACATTGCACTAAATAATTTTCAGTACCAGTAACACAGCTTTAAGAGGATAAGAAGCAAATTCATGATAGACATTTGTATAAAACAAGGAAGACTCTTCTATAAACTTCGGTTGCTTGATTAACGATGGTATTTAAAACATACCATTCAGCATCGAGCCCGCATCAGTGTTCTACGAGTAGATAAGGCACCCTCGCATACAACCCGCAACGTCTCGACCGGTGATGGCGCGACGGCTTCGTTCTATCTACATATAAATTATAGTGAATTGAAATCAAAGGGTAAAGGAATCATGAACGAATATAAGGAAGCGGTTCCGAGGCCGGAATATCAACCGTGTCCGAATCGAAAGAACTCCTGAATCGAAATTGCGAATTAATCGAAAGCCGTAAACGAAATCATGAATGGACCGAAGCAATAGATTCCAAGGCCGGATGAATAGGATGAATAGCAGGATTTGATTCCGAGAACGACATTGGAAGCGCGAACGAATCGAACGAATCGAAGGAATCGATTCCGAGTCGGGAGTCAGAATCATGAATGAATTGAAGGAGGATGGAATCGGAATCGCAAAATAATCGAAAAATTCCATTCCGAGAGAGGAATCGGATTCTTGAAAGAATAAAAGAAATCGATTCCAAAGCCGGAATCGGAATGGTGAATGCATCGAAGGATATGATTCCGATGCCGGAATCGGAATTGTGTACGGATCCAACAAATCGATTGCCAGGCCGGAATCGGAATCTAGAACGAATCGAAGAATCGATTCCGAGGTTGGAATAGGAATTGTGAACGAATCGAAGGAAAAAAACGCGCAGTACCGCGCAACTACTTGGTGCTCACACGGAACTCGTTTCGATGCGCTTTCACGATTCCTTACGCTCGTTTTGCATGATATGATCATAACCCAGATTGTCACACTGCAAAACGCACGTTTCATTGAACACAAATAATATTAATATTTATTCGCTAAAATCGCATTAGAGTAAAGAAAAACAAGTTCTTCCCACCTACAGAAGGTTAAAAATCAAATATACACATTGAAGGCAATTATATAAAAAAATAAGAACGGAACGTATACAATGATACTACAGTTAATGGATTTCACAACAAGAGGCAGAAAATTCATCAACGCTTTAAAGACAATGATCAACTTAAAACAAGTCGTTAGCGCGAGCTGTTGCATATGCTTCAATGCTACGCGCACGTTTTTTGCAGCACGTGAATTCAATGCCTTGTGTACCGACGGTAAAAGCTCAACCGTTTTGTCACTTTGACATAGGATACCGGTGCTTTCCGTCGAAATTTTGCCTGCCGTATCCAGCGAATCCCTTTGAAACTCATATTTTCCACCTCGCCTGCATCTAAAAATTCGTTTGTGAAAGAATAAAAATGACAGATGGCATTCCGCATCCAGACGAGTCCCATTTATATGTAATATGCAAGCAAAAAAAGCGGGACGCCAAATAAATGAAAGGAACCGGCTCCGCGTTTTAAGAGAAGAAAAAAGATGAAAATGCTTTGACTTTCAACACTCGGAAGATCGTTGAAATCTTATAACCTGCAATCGCTAGGCTTATTCTAAATGCGAGAAATGATACTGATGAAAATGAAACGCGACCCCAACAGACTTTCGTTATATGCTTACAAGATACTGTACTTGATTATTACTAAAAAAGCATAAGACAACGTTCTATATGGTTAATCATGATCACAGAGACGACAAGCAAACATTTTTTCCAGCCTACATTTGCTAGTTAGTCTAAAAACTGCTTCATGTATATACAGAGTGTTTCATATTAGACCCTAAGCATTGGAATCTCCGAAACTGTAAGAGATACGAAGTCGCTTAAATGAGGGCAAAGTTACGTATTCAGGTAACCAACAATATACCGCTTAGAAAGTTTCGAAATTCAAACTACTTCTTGAGAGAGACGGAAAAAACGAACTCTCCCACATTTGTTTTAATTTTTTCCTGTCATTATTTGAAGTGGGTTTTCGAAATAACTTGCACATTAACACTGCCACTCTTTCTTATCTACTGAATATGACGTTTCTATCTTAAACCTGAACACAGCTTGAAAATTTTATTGATGGTAATGATGTTCACTGCTCGATTTATTTATCTTCTTCTCGGTCTTCCAAACTCTGCTCCTATCACTTGAGGTCTGGTCTGGTAGTCGAAACAAATGAAATTTAACAATCTCAGGGTCTACTTAGGAAATTCTGTTTTTCTAGAATACCTAATATTTGGCAATGTGAATGTATGATATATACATTTGTGAAATCAGAATTAATACCTATTCATCTGCGCAAAAATCCAATATGACGTCCATAAGAAAAAATAAAGTTGATGCTGCAGGACAAGAGACCAAACGTCATATTGGAATTATAGATATGCCTCCATGTAGAGGAGAAAAAGCGGCAATGTTGATGAGCACTTTATGTTGAAATCCCACTACAATTGAAGTGTTCCGTATTTTGAATTTCGAAGCTAACTAAGCTGTATTTTGCTGATTACCTAAATACGCAACTTTGCCCCCGTTTAAGCGATTTCGTATCTATTGCAGTTTCTGAGATTCCAATGGTGGAAGTTTTAATTTGAAACACCCTATATGTTCCTCATGCTCTTCCTGTATCCCCTATCGATGCCATTACCTTTATTAAAACCAACTTTTCCAGAATGCTCGCGCTATCTATTTTCACGTTATTTTCTTACTCAAAGCCTGGAATTTTTAATCCTTACGTAGTA